CATTTTCCTTGTATCCTGACAGTTTCAAGCTTTTCCTCCTTGTCAGTCAAGATTTTCCATTAAAGTCTATTCAGTTTTCTGCTATTTCTAAGAGCAATTTTTGTTCTATAATTATCATGTTTTTTTTTATATTCTCAAGTCATTTATTTAGATCTAAATCTCCCTTTTCATCTCATTTTATTGTTTTATAATTCTCACCTTCCAGATCTTGCTTTGTAGAATTTATGTTTTTGTTAAAGGGTGCAGCTCTGGGAAGCAATTATTAGACAACTTGGGGTTCAATGAGTTTTCTTCTTGCTGGGATCTCTAAGATTAGTGGAGGAAGGGGCATCTCATCTCAAGGTGCTAAGGCTCATCTCCTCAGTTAAAAAGCTGTTTTCAAGCCTCCCCTTCTCCAAAGAGAGCACGTTTGTTCACCTTCCTCCATCTCACCAGTTTCTCTCCCAAATCATTTCTCATATTCCTCAGTCAAAACAGAAAACGAGAACAACCAAACATGCTGAGGGTATCCACCCTGTTTGCTTCTCTCCAGATTTGGAAATGTTATAATTCTCAGGAAGTTGTCAACTTGCCAGTAAAATCTGAAGAAGGCCAAGGAGACAAGTCTTTATGTTCTGATAAAAAATTCCTGCTTCCATTTTTTTCCCTTGGCTATTTGTACCATGATGTATGTTCTACTGGGTTATATAGATTTATTTCCTCTTATTATTGAATATTGTAGCAGGTAGAGCAGGTGTTTGCTGACTTATATTTGGGGGGGTCACTTAAGTATCTATTGATGCTGAGAAATTACATGGTATATTTCCAAATTTTTCATCTCCAAAATTGAAGTTACCTTTAGTATTTTTTTAGTATTTAATATCCGAATGTGGGATTCTTTTGGAATCAATCCTGCAGGGTTTCATTGAATTTTCTTACTTAATGAACATAAAAGTCTTCACCTCTGTCATCCTCAGAATTATGAAACATTCTTGCCCCCATTCTCAATGGACCTGTTTATAATTAGTTTTTGATTGATATCTATCAATTATCCCAATTGGTAACAGATTTATAAGTGAAGAATCTGACTTAGAGAACAGCAAAACAGTAATTATAGGGAATATTAGACATGATTCTCGACATGACAGTGGCATTTCTTAGACTTATATTTTCATAATTAGAGTGTGCTTTTCAAGTAGACATAAATGATTGAATCCAATATGTTCCCTTCTTCTCATACCATACACCAAGGAACAAAAGGATTAAGGAAAAGTAAAGACATGTTTTAACAAAAATTTTAGGATTTAGAGTTAAATGTTTTAGTTTCATACATTAAAATGAGAATACATAGCGAAAAATTGAGTTGTCCCTTATTATAACTGACATTAGTTCTCTACAAACTCTAGGAAATTCCTTTATAATAACTGTTCCAGTACGGTGTGGACAGCTCTGCAGTCCAACATGTTAGGCAGCATGCCTGGGAACAGGAAAATACCCCTGCTTCTGCCAGCGCCTGCTGAGAGACCTGAATCAATATTTGTATATGCTTCAGTTTCTGTCACAGTTATCACTTACATTGGCCCACGCTGACCACAAAAGGGGAGATGTACTTGGAAAAAAATGTGTCAATCATAGTGAATTCCAAGATTCACTATTATAAAAATTTTTAACAGAAAGATATTCACAGACTATGTTATAGAACTCTCTATACAACATCTGAATCTCACCCAAGTTATCTAGCATCACTGGGACCATATTAGGAAAAAGTACAATCATATACAACATTTGCAATCCAATAGAACATAAAAGATGCTGGATTTTATATATATATATATATATATATATATATATATATATATATATATATATATACACATACACACACACACACACACATACACGTGTGTGTGTGTATGTGTGTGTGTGAGAGAGAGAGAGAATGCATAATGGCCAACAGAATTAAAATATTAAGTGGGAACTCTGAAGTAACTGCTAATGACAATTATACAAGAAAACTAAAATCTTTAAATAATTAATCTCAAGAAAACTTCCATAGGGATTTCATTGTTTGATTACATCCCCTTCAACCTCTTTGTCTTTTATTATTACATGAGACACACACACACACACACAAGCCATCCAAAAGTACAGACACAATTTACATAAGAAAAGGACTAGTCTTATCAGACCAAGATAGCCAAAGAAAGAATAGATTTATATGATAGCTAAAGAAACCTGGTTAGGGAATAAAAATTAATTTCCCCATGTGACCTATAATCTAACTCATCTGGTAGAACATGGCATGGAAGAGTGAGGATCCTAGTTTCAATCAGTAAAAATACTAATAATTGTACCAGACATTTTAAATACATGCTGATATATCTGAACCTTAATAAGAATGCTAAGAGATCAGGAGATGGACACAATTATTCTTCACTTTGAAGATGAACAAATCCATTATACAACTGGCTAGCAATGGAGTTCATGTGCGAATAAGCTCCTAGGACAGGGCTCTCTCCAAAACTCTGCACTGCAGCCAAGTATCTTTTCTCTCTTTCAGATTCAAAGACTCCATCCACTTCTTGGCCTACAAATCACAACCAGGCCATTGGTCCAAGAGGAAGCTGAACAAGATCGGTGAGAAAATTAAGACAAGCAAGCCCCTAATTCATCAATGAATTCAAAGGGCAGACCCTACTGATGCTGGTTCACCATCCTCATCACCCATTCTCTACCCGAGGCCAGTTTTCTGAAGGTTGCAAGAGCTGGGGAGATTTAAAAACCCCAAAGTCCATACTGTGGCTCTCACTAATGAAAACAGATACTTTAGGGATAGATTCCAGGCATCACATTTTGTAGAACACTTTTGGGCACTCTGAGAACCAGTGCCTCACAGAAAATCCACAATATAGATTGAGTAAATTACATTCAAGGACATACTATATGAAATAAAATCAAATACCATACAACATCATCAGGAGGATGCAGTTATGTTTCAAATTTCCAAAGTAAGTAGAACACAGAGTTTCCTTATTTACAAACAGGTTTGAGAGTTGATATTAACCTACATCGTTTTCCATTTAATAGCTAGTCCTTCAGGGCTGGGGTTGTGGCTCAGTGGTAGAGCACTTGCCTCACATGTGTGAGGCACTGGGTTCAATTCTCAGCACCTCATATAAATAAATGAATAAAATAAAGGTCCATCAACAACTAAAAATATATTATATATAAAAAAATAGCTAGTACTTCAGTGTTGCTTCTGGTATAAAAGGTAACAGCATGGACAATCTCAAGCACTTCCCTGTTAAAAATCTCATCGCTTTGAGTACAAATCACTAAGAGTCAGGGAAATGACAATTTCAGCTGAAATGGAAGTACAGGTGTGTGTGATGATCAAAGACATGGAGAACTGGCAAAGCTAGTAACACCTGCGGCCAACCTGTGTGGAAGGCAGGGCTGTGTTTCCGCCATATGAAAGAAATATCAAACTTGTACTTAGAGGCAAAGACTAGAAGGATATAGCATAGTACTGAAAAAATAGCAAAAAGAGTTAATTTCAATGAGTCCCTCAGTATTTTAAAAATATAATTAAAGTAGATATTAATATATTAATATATATTTTAATATTTAATATAAGTGACAACTGCCATCTGAGATACACCTGCTGACCTGTCCAGAAGTTCACGTCAGCTTTCACTCTGATAATAAATTAATGTAATTCTGGTAGGTTTACTTTGGTTAAGCAGACACAACTTGTTAGTATAGTTCCTGTCACTTAAGTGTATAAACACCAAAACTGTATAAAATTGATTTATTCTGATTTCATGAAAAGACTGAACCAACAGAAGGATCTTAAAATCAATGTGACTACCAGAGTTTTAAAGAAAATTTGCTTCAAACAGGATACGCATAGATGAGAAGGTGTGTTAGCGCCAAAGCAGTTGCCCTACCAACCTGTGGAATATTGATTGTTTTTACGCCTAGCCCCACAGTGTACAGGCTGCTTTATGTTACATTCTTATCATGGAAAGCTAGACAGTGATCTGTAATTACAATTAAACCAACATGGGAACTTAGCAGATCTGAGGAAGAACTTTAAGCCAATTTAGGTAGAAGCATTCAGAAGAAAACAGAAACAAAGAGTCCCAAAATCTGAATTAGTAATAAGAAATAAATGCAAAAAGCAATAATTACAAGTAAATAACATTTCCTGGAGAATATGCTCTTTTGACAAATATAAACTGATAAAGCTGACAAGATTCATTTCCCATCAGCACATCTTTGAGAGCACAAGCACACACACAGAAAAACAAGAAACTGGAATCTGTTCCTGTTATCCTTTAAAATGTTGCACCTGCTTCTAACACATTTATATGTGTGTATGCCACTGCATCTGCCTGACGATGCTAGACTTCCCAAATGTTTTTGACAACAATTAAAATAAGCATCTACTAATAATAATTTTATTTCATCCTAAACAGTTTCATTCTGGGCTGAGGAGAAAAAGCCACATTGAGGGGGGGAAAAAAACTACCTTTAAAACTCTGTGACAAACACATTTCAGAAGGTAGGTCTATAAATAGATGTGCTCTGTATGCACACTGTAAATATAAAATTGTCAGGCTGGCCGAGGCTGCAATTTAAACTGAAGCCCCAATATGAACTTACCTGATTTTCAAGTCCTGTTAGCATATGCTTAGAATCACTTCGAATCTCCTTTTTCTAGTTGCATAGTAAGGCAAAACACCTTCCACTACATTTTACTTATCTCACTCTCATCTTTCTTCTGAAGCAATACTTTGCAATTTCATTCAGAAGCAGCCTCCTTAAACAGACTCCGGAATATGCACAGAAACAGTAATGGAAGGGATCTAAGTTAAACCCTACAGCGGCACCAAGAAAACATCAACATCAAACCGAAAAAGCAGTCATTTCTGAAGAGAGGTGCTTTTCCTAGCTGCATTTCCCAAGCCAGCCCTCTTTCAAACATAAAAGGTCTCAGTTATGAAAGAGGATCTTACCTGAGCTGATCATACTGTGCATTCTTTGCTGAGCCAAGAGCTGCTCCCGTCCAGCCACCCCATCTGAGGAAAAACAAGAGTCACTCTCGTAAATTGTCTGCAGCATATTCCAATCACTCTTACTTCAGCTACATGAAAGATTCATCACTGCTCAGTGCACTGGCCCCAGGAGCTACCCTGGCTGGTCCTCCCTCCTCCCTGAGGAGAAGCGGCAGAGGATCAACTTCGACAATGATTTCATTTCTGCTCAGACGGACAGACACTTTTAAAAAGACCTGGACACTTTCCCCCGCTACCAACCTGTGTGCAAAGCAGAAAGGACAGAGTGGATGCTATAGCTCTCTGGAGTTTTAGGTTATCCAGGAAACTAGAAGCAGGTGGGAAATAGGAATGTGCTTCGGGGTTATTTCTTTGTCAGAATAAGTAGCAAAATATTAACTCTACCCACGAGAAAAAGAAACCAATTAAACCTGGCTTATAGTTCTTCAGGCTGCTAGGGGTTTCCTTGCAAGAACCTTCAGTCCTGCAAGTGGCTCCAGCCGGTGCCCTTGTATCTGTTTGTGTGTGTCTCTCTTCCCTTTCTCAGTCTCTCTCAGCTCAAGTTGGCTAAAGCTAGTGATAATCCATTTGCATATGAATCAACAACAGCATGGCCCACAGGCACAGAAATAGAACAATGGTCGGCCTGAGCCAAAAATAGGTCAAGCATGGCCGAGTGATTGGAGCCTGCATTAATGCATTTAAAAATACCCCAGCAAACCCAGCTGTCCAGCCTCTATCTTTCAAACCATAATTCTCTGTTGCAGGGCCTTAAAAGCAATTAACTCTTTCCTGCCTCCAAGCTCGTTTTACACACTGTTTTCATACTGGCGATTTGAGTCCAAAGGAAGGCAAGGAAAAAAATTAAGAATCATAATTCAAAGAGGGCAAATGCACATACATTTAATTTCATTTTATTTTTGTAGTATGTGTTTTTGGAAGAGAGAGAGAGAGAGAAAGAGAGAGAGAGAAGTGCAGAGCTCTGTATTGGTTCTAAAATAATACTGGAAGCTTTTGCTCATAATGTGGTTTCTGCCTCACCCACGCACAGCAATCCTGGTGTTCTATTTTTGTTGCCTGTTTCTCTGGCTACACTGCAGTTGGCTGTAGCACTAGAAGCTTTTCTGCCTTCTAGTTTCAGCACTGACAGGAGATTTAGTAGAGGTAGTTTCGGAAAACAAGCACACTCCAGAATAAAATTTTTATGAAGGACTGGTTTGATTTTTTTACTTGCTATTTATGTAAGGCAATTGTCCATTTCACGAATCCTAATGTGGTCTTAGTACCACCTGTCAATTTTATTGCATCCAGTTCCTACTCTATCTAAAAAACAAAAACATAAAACCATGGATGGCTAAGATCTGAAATTTCTCCGTCTTTCACTCTCTTAAGCTAAATCCAATTGACTTGAAAAAGGAAAAGAAAATTTTGATACTTTCCTATGGATGCAGAATTACCATGTTTGTGCACCTGTCGATAAATAAGTAAGTATATTTAGTACTTAAATATGAATATTCTGGGTTTATCTATACATTGGTTGCCTGAAATATAGATGCCACTTTTCTTTGGAATAGCATTTATGATAGTTGATAGATTTCCAGACCAGCACACATTGTGACATTCACCTGTAAGGTAAATGCACTACAATAGGTAGAATAAAAGTTCTACAGTCTCTGGTGTACATTTATATCAGTGTCTGTGAGAAATAAATTCTGCATCCCAAAATGGAATGCCATCATCTAACCGCTCCCAAGGGCAAACACAAAAGTATAATCCACTGGTCACTGAAGCTCTTCACTCTTCATGGAAGCTTTTCTAAACTAGATCAGCAAGAAAAATACAATTCCTAAGGCATTAGTAGCATCAGGGAAAGAAAGAGGAAAAGCAGATTGTTGCAAGGTCCTCAGAGCAATCTGACAGAAGAAAAACTTGGTCAACCCTAGGGTATGGGACAAGGAAAAGCAAAGAAGTTTTCATAGAATTTTGGCTTAAAAAAAAAATAGTTAAATTATTTAATAGCGAACCCACTGCTGAATTCCTCTTTTTTCATAGATAACTTCTGTTCAATATCCCACTTCTTGAAAAAGCAAACTTAGACGGGTGAGTTATAAGATTTTTTTAAAAAAATAGTTATTTCAAACTGCATTTGACTTAAGTTAAACAACAAAATCTTATGTTCCTATCAGTGGAAAAACTATTTGATTCCATCTGATATTACAAATAAGCTTTCCATGAAGAATTAAAATTCAATTTTAATGTGTAAAATTCAAGGGATAGAAATAATGTGGATCTGATAATTTTCCTTGTGGATGATGTATTTATATAGTGATCACATATAGCATTCTAAACCTGAGGTTAGAGTGGGGAGGTTGGCCACAATAATCTTCAAAGTCTGCCTCAGGAAACCACTGCAGGATGTAAGGGTACCTGGAAGCTGCCTCATTTTGCCCAGATGAGGCTGTCCCCTCAACCAGGGAAGTTCCACTTATATCGATTTACATTTGGGAGTGCAAAATTCTGTTTTTTCATTTTACTTAAAAAAAAAAAAACATTTTTAGGGGCCAGAGTTGTGGCTCAGTGGTACAGCACTTGCCTAGCATGCATGAGGCACTGGGTTCAATCCCTGGCATCATGTAAAAATAAAGGCATTATATCCATCTACAACGAAAAAATATTTTTTAATTATAAATAAGTATTTTTATTAAGGTATATTTGATAAATTAAGGTTGTATATATTTAAAATATACAATCAGATGAGTTGAGACAGCATACACTGTGAAAAAAATCAGCACAATCAAGCTTTTATCCATCTCCTTCGCTAGTTACTTTCCTTCCTTCCTTCCTTCCTTCCTTCCTCCCTCCCTCCCTCCCTTTCAATCTTTCTCTCTAATGGAGTCAGGCCTAAAGAGGCTTGCTAAAGGTAACCCAGGTAATTAACCATGCAGGTCTAGCATTCATGCTCTCTAGTCGGCCATCTTGCCCCTTACTAAAATGATGCAAATAATTACCTGAGATATTCAGAATAAAATTTAATAGAATCTACAGATGAAAAATAGAATCACTGTTTAAATGTGTCAAAGTATTTAACAGAATATACAAAAATCATGATAAATATATACAGGATAACAAAATCATAATATATACCTATATGTCTTTGCCATTTTGTTCAATTACACCATAAAACTGCAATTGATAAAAAAAAGTATCTCCAAGCTTTTATAGTCATAAAAAAAAGAAAGAAAAAGAAAATTGAAGAAAGTTCCAGAAGAGTATCTCCAATTTCTCAGAAATTCTGGGAAAGGGCATTCTAATGTGTATTCTTCAAGTTTTCAACTTGAAGTTCATTAACATTTCATCCCTACATGCCTTCAGCATTGTTTTTCATTAGCAGTCTTGTCTCTCATTTAACTCTTGATAATGAAAAATTACTCAGTGTGAAAAGATATTGGACACATTGTGAAATAGATCCACTTATCTCTGGGAAGAAATATAAACATCTTCAAAACAACCACCAACGATGCTGATTGCCACAGTTCCATTATCCAAAGCTTAAATATTAAGAATGTTAATTTTTTTTCTTATACCATCAAAATATCGGTAAAGATATGTGATTAATTTGATTATTAAACCAATTTTACTGATTTGAGGAAAAAGACGTACATTTTCTTTTGTATGAATCCTAATAAACTGATATAAATGTCAAGCTAAAATAGAAGGGTAGTATTATGGTTTATATATGAAGTGTCCTCCAAAAGCTCATGTGTGAGACAATGCAAGAAAGTTTAAAGATGAAATAATTGGGTTATGAGAGCTTTAACATAATCAGTGCATTAATTTGTGGATAGGAGTTAACTGTGTGGTAACTGTAGGCAGATAGAGTGTGGCTGGAGGAGGTGGGCCATTGGGGTTGTGCCTTTGGGGTATATATTTTGTCCCTGGAGAGTGGAGCTGTCCTGTCATCCTTGACACAGCTCTACCCCCTTACCTTTCTCTTTTCTTCTCGATTCCATGTCCGGAGCTATTTTCTGCACCCCACTCCTCCACCATGATGTTCTCCCTTGCCTTGAGCCCTAAGGAATGCAGCTAGCCATCTATGGACTGAGAGTTCTGAAACTGTGGGCCCTCAAGTAAACTTTTCCTCCTCCAATTGTTCTATCCGGTCTTTTGATAACAGCACTGAAAAAGCTAACTAAAACAGGTGGTTTTAAAAAAAATTCAATATAATAAATTCTAATTCAGTTTAATAAGCATTTTGAAATTGATCTAAATATATACTTTATATGTATACAGGTTAAAAAAGGCCAATAAGCAAAAACAAAAATCCACATTCTCTATTTACTAGAAAGTAGGAATGGGAATCAAATCCTAACATGAAATATTACTTAAAAATTATGATAATTACAATTCTTTTTATGCAAGTATGTAGGTTAAAAAAATAAAAAATGTATTAAAATTCTTATTACAGAAATATCTTCATATCTGTTTTTCAGATCAGTCTTAGTAATACCTGAAGACCCCACTGTAGAGAAGCAAGGCACATAGTATAATGTGATTTATATTACCACACAATATATATTCTGTTTGTGTGCAATAAAACAGACTTTTCATGCAGTGCCAAATCCTATGATTATGGACTCTATAAAGTTTTAAAATTTGTCTCCTTGAAATACTGAACTGTGCTTTACAAGAAAGCTACAAATTACTCATCAATAACTAGTATCCTCCATTCACTCATTCACCAACACTCTCTCTTTGCTGGTCCTCACATTTCTCCAACGACTGTTAACAGCAATAAAGTTATACACATTTGTTTACAATCAACAGGGTTAATTCTCTCAGACCCCCAAGAAACAGGATGGAAGGGGAATGATAAAGTAACTTTTGCTTGGTAGTTAGCTTATTTATCTGAATTTTCTCTTTCTTAAAGGAACAGCACCCATTCTTACTAAATAGAAGATACTGCATTCATAAGTGATTATTCCCCACTGAAGAATCCTAATTGGTCATCAAATGGCTTTCAGCTG